CCATGACCTTACTTGCAGGACTGTTTCAAGGAAAGCGCTGCGCAGAAATTACCATTAAAAGTGAACTCTTAATCAGGTGTAGATGCACCTGCTGAAGTTTTGACCCTAGCTCTTTTACTCTGCACTGGCACTGATAGAAAGTATTGTGTTTGCAGAGGTTGGTCTGGAACTGGTCAAACCACTAGGGACAGACTGGTTGCTTTACACAAAGCATCTCATTTGAGCCTCACCACCATCCTATGTAGAGCTATTTTTATGCCTATTTTACTAACTGGGAAACTAAGGCCAAGGTTGCATGGTGTGGTGGTAAGGTATAGGAGCTGGAATCAGGAAGACCTGGGTTCAAAACCCATCTTAAACACTTCTTCCCTCTGGGGACCCTAGGCAAATCACTTAACATCTTGGGGTTTCATTTTTCCCCAGCTCTAAAATGAAGGATTGGACTTTATGGCTTCTAAGGTTCCTTCTTTCTCTAAATCTATAATCTTGGCAAGTGACTTGCCCAAGGCCACACTGCCAGTGTACCTGAGGTAGATTTTGAACCATGGTCTTTAGGATCAAAGGTTCAATGCTTTCTCCACTATATCAGGCTGATGAGAATTAGTCTTAGAATTAGTATTCATCTCTGCTGAAGCCTCTAGCCAATATCACTCTCTCAGGTTCCCATTCACATTCAGCCACAGAGGGATCAGTCTGGAGAGAAAAGACCCTGCTATATTAGTGACAATTTGATTACTAGCACAGAACTCCCTTTCCAACTCCATTCCCCACCCTGAGCTAGAAAGCAAAGAAGCTCTGGCCTTTTCTAACACGGGGAGCCTTTGCATCATTGCCTTTCCAAACAGGAAGGAGGAAAAGGCAAGGCGTCCTCTGATTTTTGCAAGATTTGTCTTTTCTCATCAAATATGAAGGTTTACATCATTATTTAGAAATTCACAATTACATAACTCAGATATAGGAATAATAGGACCTAGAAGGCATCTTAGAGGCCCTTTAGTACATTCATTTCATTTTTGAGGGAGAAGAACCAGGGGCCCAGAGAGATAAGACAACTGGCCCAAGGTGCCATAGATGGAAAGTAGCAAAGCTGAGATCCCAATTCTGCTCCTCTGGCTCCAGACCCAGCATATTCTCCACTGTACCACACTGTTCCTTAGAACACAGAGAGTGAACTGATCTAATAGCCAGCACCCAAAGACTCACTTCATGTAATTTTCAGGTCCCTTTGACTGTGTCGCAATAAATTGGCTCTACTCATTTAAAATAATTGCCTCATAGGTGTGCCTCTCTTTCACTTCAGTGCAAATTAGTTTCTCCTTCTTACTCTCCCTCTTCCCCTTTCTCTTCCTCCCTTCTCTCCTCCATTTCTCTCCTCTCTCCCTGTGGTCTTTTCTTTCCTTTCATTCCCCCCTCCCATCTCCCTTCTCTCCTCTTGCTCCCTCCCTCCTTTATCAAGAGTGGCTTCCACAAACTCTAGGCAGTCAAAAATAGTGGCCCTCTGCTGTGGGCTGTGGTACACTGAAGCATTGTTCTGCGAGGCAGGTGATGGTTCAGTCTGGGGTCTTCTCAGATATGTTACTGTAGATTGTTGGTTTTCTCTCCTCTCTGTAAGCCATTGTGGCAAGTATAAAAGTAATCATAGGTATGTTGCATTCTTGGTTTCTGACTCATAGGTTAAGTATCTCATCAGAAGAACTTAGATGGGGCATCTTTATTTTCACTAACCTCAAACTGAAAGCTAATATTTCCTTTGATTAGGAATATAGGCAGCTAACATCATTCTGAGAAGGGGTGCCTAGACTTCACTGGATTGCCAAAGGGGTTCAGGACACAGAAAGGCCAAAAATTCCTGTGTTGGACAGATACCAGATACTGTTATGATAGTGATGGTACTCAAGGGTTGGGGCCCAAATGTTTCCAGGGGAGTACAGTCCCAATTTTAAAATGAAAGTCAACAGGAAAATATAATTCTGTATATAGAAATTAACTTTACAATGTGCCTAGATGACCTTACTTAGTAAGATAAGACACATCTACATTGTTTTTCCCCCTATGACAAAGCATCAAAGTGTACAGAGCAGAGATCTGATCTCCAAAACAGGAAGACCTAAGTCTAAACCTGCCTTTGACACATATTGCATATATGACTCAGAGCAAATCACTTGATCTCTCAGAGAAGGGGCCTATCTGTACTGGGAGAGGAAGTCTCTCAACAGGAGCTCCCTAATTACTAGAAATTCACAATTAAAAAGGTAAGGGGAATCAAAACTAGCAGTTCATAGTCAAACATCATGATTTAAGTCTCAGAATCTCCCATGTAAATATAGGAGTCAGAGGCATCCAGGGGAAGTAATAAGGGGAGTTTGGGTGTTATGGGTGTATTTTAGCTTAAAGGCAGCTCAGTATTTTTCAGGGTTAAGAAAGTCATCCTATCCTGGAGGGTAGAATATAGTTATCCCTTCCATATCACAGGGGTTAGGAGCGTGCCCCCCCCCACCATCTGGAAAATCTGCATAAATTTTTTGGCCCTGCCTTTGTACCAGAGAAGAAGTCTGAATTTTTTCTTTTTCTTTTATGGGGTGTTTACAGTAACTTACTGTAAAACTTAGGTTGATATTATACAACACTATACATACATTTTATGCATTTCTGAGTTTCTAAACTTTTTTTCTAAATGTCTGCTGGCTTTCACATGTCTGCGGCTTCCACAAAACTCCCCTCAAATTCCCATTTAATTTCTTATGCTGACTCATGATGTCAAAACTTCGATGGAGAAAGATTCGATGTGGAAGGAATAACTATAGTGGGTTTTGCTTCAGATAGGAAAGCATCTAGATGATATTACTATATGTTGGCACTAAAGGCTAGGGGGTTTTTTCTTGGCATCTACATTTTTTTTTAATATCTTCAAGCTTTTTGGCCAAGTTTGGAATTTCTCAGTCCTGAGTCAGATACATCCCAACCACATTGTCGAGCATAAATCCGAGAAAGAAGTGGATCATGGTGATGGTGGCAGTGGCAGCAACAGCAGCTGAAGCAAGAGGCCAGACCAATGAAATCCCAGGTCTAGGTAAAACAACAAAATTAAAAAAAAAATTTGAGGACCTCGATGGGATCATAGTTCTAAAGCTGTGAGGAAACTTAGAGGCCTTGGCCAACCCACTCATTTTACAGACAGGTGCAGGGAGATGGGGAAATTCGGCCACAGTAGCAAGGAGTAATGCTACAGTCAGGATTCAAACTCGGATGGTAGGATCGGCAATTTGAACTAAAGTCTCTAACAGGTCTGACTCCAAACTTAGTGTTCTTATCATTGTATCATGGATGCACCATCAAGTTAAAAAACCCAACATTTCTGTTCAATGCAAGGACAGATGATTAATTCTCAATCATGACTAGAAAGGGCCCTGCCAATTCTGTTGCTTTTCTTAAACATGAATGCTTTGGGCTGGATCTCAAAATAAGGAAAAATCCATTGATATTTGTGTCCACTTGGATCACCTTGGTTTCTGGGTAGCTTCTGCATGACTGAGGATCATAGATTTAGAACTGAAAGGAATCTTAGAAGTCTAGAAAATTTCAGATAACTTACCCTTTTTTGTGTCATGGATCCCTTTGGCAGTCTGATGAAGCCAAGGAACCCCTTCTCAGAATAATATTTTTAAATGCATGAACTACATATGATGAAAAAGGAAACCAATTATATTGAGATAGTTACCAAAATATATTTTTAAAAGCAAGTTCATGGACACCAGCTTAAGAATCCCTGACCTAATATGAGCTGCCTCATTTTATAGAACAGGCAGATACTGATTATTTCTTTTATATTCATTACGACTTTGAAGGCTATGGTCTCCAACACCCCAAAGCAAGGAAGACTGAGGTATAGCTCTGACCTTGGCATAATGACCTATCCCTGTCCAAGTGAACCATGCTTGGTTCTCAGATAATCTAGCTCAGAGAGGGTGAGTGATTTGCCCAAGACCATATAGTCTTAAGAAGCAGTGCCAATATTCAAACCCAGACACCCTGGTTCTAGAATCAATACTTTCTCTACTATACTACAATACATCTTTGGTGGGTAGGTGATTCACAAAATTACAAGTTCACTCACTAATGTCTTTTCTGAAATGGTACCTATAGCTTCACAGAATGTTAGAGCTGACACAGATCTTGGATATCATCTAGGTCAATGGTGCCAAACTCAAATAGAAATGGATTCCCCTGGGTACATATTGACTTAGAAAACCATAAATTAATATGATTAATATGATATTGTATTTTTACTTATTTTGTTAAACATTTCCCAATTACATCTTAGTCTGGTTGTAGGGCACTCAAAGTTTTGCTAGCCCCTTGGAGTTTGACACTTCTGATCTAGGCCAACCCCTTCCACCTATTTTTACAGATGAAGAAAGTGGACTTAAAAGAGAAGATACCTTGCTCAAGGTCACATGGTATTAAATAGCAGAGCTAGGATTTGAATCCAAGCCTTTTGATTCCAAAATTCAGTAGTCTTTTCACCACAAAACAATCGACACATCTAAGTCACTAGTGACAAGTTCCTGCCTTGTACCAGTTTCCCAGTGACTTTACCTACCTAGCACCTCCTACCCTACTCTGTCTCTCAAAGATGAGCACCTTAATCTCTCTTACTATGACTTTCCTGATGCTGTTTATTGGGCCCTGCATCCCATCATCTGCTGTTGGAACCTTCACTGGCTGCCTGTACCACTGGCTGCATCCCATCATCTGCTATTGGAGCCTTCACTGGCTGACCCTTGTTTGGGATAACTGCTGTGACCCAGATTTTGAGCAGGGCACGACATGGTAGCTAGAACAGAGTAAGGAAGACCTGGGTTCAAGTCCTGTCTCATACGTCCTAGTTGAATCTCAGTTTCTTCATCTATAAAATGGACATAATGATATTTTTCATACCCACTTTACTGTGAAGCTCAAATGAGATATGAAGTGTTGTATAAACTTAAAAGGACTGTATGTGTAGGTCAATATTATTTTTATTTTGGCTTTAATTCATTTTTGTAAGCCCTTAGTGAGTGCTCAGGCTTGAAAGTACATGGGATACAAGTGATATACATGTTCCTCCTAACTTTGTAAACCACTTTGGTGAAAGCTTAGGTGAAACCATGTTACAGTTCCTTGTGAACATTGTTTAGAAAATGTTGCACTTTATCAGGGAGTTTAGTTAAAATCTATTAACAATGTTTTTGTGAGACATTGGTCAAGGAAACCTTATGCTTAGAATCTGATCCCTTTCTTCAAGGTGATTACAGGCTAGTTGGAAGATAAGATTCATCAGTGAAACAGGCAATAGACGATGGCAATGCACAATCAGGTTTGCTGTAGGAGGGCTCAGCATAGACCAGAGTGATGAAAGGCAGCTTCCTGGAGAAGGAGACTGTTGAATTGAACCCCTATTCATTATGTTTGATTAACCAGAGGATGAAACAGGAGCAATCACAGGAAATTTCAAAACATGTTGATTCCTCTTTTCTACATTCATGGCAATTCTGGGGCAGTCTCTTAGAAACCTGACTTTTCAGTTGGGTGGTGCATGAGACTGCAGGACAATTTGCTGCTCCAACTCAGCATACCTCTTGAGGAGTGGCCCATAGACCTGAAACAAGAACAAATCAACTGAGAATTGGGTGAGTTGTCATGTTTGGTAGGGTGGAGAACTACCTGCAGTCTTGGCTTGCACAACTTCTTACGGCCCATTTAAATGATTTTAAAAGTTATATCCTGGCAAAAATGGATTTGAGAGGCATCATGGTGTAGTAGATACAGAAATGTCATCACAGAAGGAAAGACCTACCTTTGCCACATATTGGCTGTATGACCCTCTCTAAGTTGGACAACCACATTGATAGAGAGAGTTCTTCCCTTGGAATTCCCTGGACAGATGAAATTGCAGCTTCTTGTTGTTGTTGAAGATGGATTTATACCTACAAGTCCTTTAACACAAAGCAGTCTCTATCCCAGAGAAGTACTACCAAGAAGGAGGTGTAATGTGGTGTGATGGTGAGATGATTTGACTTGGAGTCAGAGGGCCTGCATTTAAATCTAGACCCTGCTACTTCATATATGACCTTGAAGTGAAAGTGAAGCGAAAAAAGAAAGTGAAAGTCACTCCCTTTCTTTGGGCTTCTTACCTCATTTGATCTTCACACAACCTGGTCACCATTTTTTTTTTTTTTTTTTGCAATTGGGGTTAAGTGATTTGCCGAAGGTCACACAGCTACTAAGTGTCAAGTGTTTGGTCTTGGGCCGGGTTTGAACCAAGTCTCCCTGACTTCAGGGCCGGTGCTCTATCCACTGCACCACCTAGCTGCCCCCTGGTCACCTTTTTCAAAAATGAGAGTTTTAATTACCAAGGTAGACATTGAACTGTGGTGATCTCAGACCCTAGATCTTGGTTGGTTTCTGACGGAAGGAACTGCCTATCCCTGGTGTAGCCTTGGATTAAGACACTGATAAGAGGCCCTAGATTGTCTTTATGAAATGTTGTAGCTGAAAAAAGTCATGATTGGTGGTGAGTCTTTTCATACTTAGCTGGGCTAATCCTAGGACTTCACTTGTATATAGTGTCTTGCCAGGAGATACTAAGTCTTTCATTAGTATCAATTGTGTTTCTGGAAGAACAATCAACTGCTTGAGAATACAGATAATGTTTTATACCATTCATTTTTTTCTTCTTAGAATTCTTTTGATAGTGGGTGATCAACGAGTGGACTCATAACTCCATTTAAAGCTCAGCCTAGGTGACACTTTCTCCATGAGGTCTTTCCCAGTCCTTCTCAGTCATTGGTGCTCCCTTAGAAATTACTTTTTTTTTAAAAAAAAATGCATTTTATGAATATTTTGTGTTTCTACATCATCTACATCCCCCACTGTATTTCTCCCCCATTTCTTTCTAGAGCACCATCTCCTACAATACAGTACTTTAAAAAGGAAGAAAAAAAAGCTCACCAAAACCAACCAACATATTGAAAAAGTCTGATATTATATCTAGTGCTCCACATTCTTGATTCAGAGGAAGTACATAGCTCTTCTTTGGGGCCAAGCTGAGTCATTATAATTATGCAACATTTAGTTTTGATTGTTTGTTTTTGTTTGTTTTTATTGTTCTTTTAATTTCCATTGTTGTAGTCATCACCTCTGTGTGTGTGTGTGTGTGTGTGTGTGTGTGTGTGTGTGTATTCCTGGTTTGGCTTCCTTCACTTCGCATCAGTTCACATAAGTCTTCCCAGCTTCTCTGTATTTACCATTTTCATCATTCATTACAGCACAGTATTATCCCATTAATGTATCACAAATTGTTTAGTTATTCCACAATGGATAAACATCTATTGTTTCCTTTGTTACTAAAAAAAAGTGTTGCTTTAAATGTTTTGGCATAGATGGGGTCTTTCTTTTGTTAATGACCTCTTCACCCCTTGAATTACTTTGTATGTGTGTATATTTGTTTATTTCTCTTTGTACATGTTGTATCCTCCCAGGAGAATGTAAGCTTTTTTGAGAACAAAGACTATTTTGTTTTTGTCATTGTATTGCCAGCACTTACTTCAGTAAATAATACATAGCAGGTACTTAAAAATGTTTGTTGAATTGAACTATGTGTCCAGCACATAAGAGGTATTTGGTTTCTCTACTTACAAGAGAAGTAGAACATTCAGTCATGGCCCTTGGGGAGTTGACAGGATCAAATGAGATAACAGATATGGAAAATTGTTAGGTACTGCGAAAATTTAGTATAGCACTTCAAAGACTTCAATTGATTTCCTCAGCATGAGTCCTCTTTCCACTTATGCAGACTGCAACTCTTCCTCCAAGACTAGTGGATAGCTTAATAAATTGTTATAGCCAAACATATGATGGACATATTTTTCCAAATTGTTACTACTACCAAAGAACTAGCTATGTTCCATCAGTGACCACCACCCTCAACCACGTTGAAGGCATATCAGTTTCTTGTGGTTTCCCCTTCAGTCTAAACTGGAACCAAGGACTTTCATGGACCAAATGGATAACTGGGGTCTATGTTTGTAGAGTTACGATCCTTTGTGCTCTGGGGATGGGTCTCAGGTTGGACAGGGTAACCATCACTTAGTAGTATTTGTAGTAAGAGTTTGGTGAGAATAAGGTAGAACTTATTAGCTAAAATGGAGTTCAGGAATCACAAAATCATGGTTCTAGAGCTGAAAGGAACTACAAAAGCCACCTAATCCAGCTCCCTCATTTGCTGGTGGATGAGGAAAGAGGTGCAGAGACATTGAGTGACTTGACCAAGGCCACAAAATTAGTAAGGGTCAGAGATAGAATTTGAATCTAAACCCACTATTTCCTTAAACAGTACCATGCTACATGGGACAGCAGAATGAGCACTGGGCTTGGGACGAGAATGTCCGGTCCAAATCATAACTCTACCAGTGAGACCTTGGGCAATCTCACCTTCTCTGAACTTCAGTGTTCTCATGTATAAAATTAGGACAATAATACTAATATTATTCATATGATAAAAATATTATTCCAACAGGGTAATAATATTAATGTTATTCATATAATTCATATAAATTTTAATGTACATTATTCATTTATAAAATTGAGAGTTTGGGCTAGATGACCTATGAGTTCCTCTCTCGCTGTCTACCTATGAACTCTGGGATCTCCACTTACCCAGTCATCTTTTGTCCCTTTGTCATATGAATGGTGGCACATTTGATGAATTATATTTTTTTCTACTTCTGAATGGTTAGGAATGGTGGCCACATGGCCTAAGTACCTTGGCACACAGGTATGGGCATCTGAGAGAGGGGCTAGCTGCTAATTATCACATTTCCTAATCCCAGGACTGTCATACACAAATTCTACCTGGGTATATGAATGAGGTAAGAATGACCATTATAACAATGCACAATAATAATAATGCAGAGCATCTTTACTCCTGCTGGGAGTATATGTGGCATTGTTTGGGATCAGATTTTTAGTCCTAAATGAAATGAAAATACTGTTTAGATACTAAAAATCCCAATTATGTTAAAGAAGTGCAAAAATGCATTTTCCCTGATGGCCTTGGCCAAACTGGCTGAAAAATCTTAAAAACAGAAAACCCCAATTATCCCCTTGGGACATTAGCCAGTTATTAGACAATCTATTGCAACTTATTAAGGGGATAAAACGATATTAATAGGTGTGTGGATAGAATATTGTCCTTGAATTTCTAATGGCCTATTTCACTGACTTCAGCTTAAATGCCTTCTCCTAAGTGAATTCCTGAAGCAATTATTATGATTCCTTTTCTATAAATAATGTCTAAAGGAGGAAAGAACATGCAATGTTACATACACCTCCGAAATATAAATTCCCTCTATCATCCTAAAATCTAATAGGTTTGACCCAGGGATAGTCATCAAAGTCGTTATCACAGTGTGAAACTTGCTCATGTCTGAAAGGTCTTTGCACTTGTGTTTGGCCTCATTCTACCAGCAGGCCTTGCTGGGTCAAAGCTGTAAGCTGGACTCAAGTTTCAGTAACTGTCTTATGAGACTAGCACTTCCCTATTGGGAGATGGCAAATTCCACAAAACCAGGACAAATTCTGGTCTTCTTCTGTCTCCATGGTTATTTGCTCTGGGAAGGAACACACTAAACCCATGTTAAATGGGTTTTTTAAATGAATTATGCCGCTAATTGGTAAACAGATCTATAAGTGGCCTGTGGGCTCTGTCCTCTGAGGAAAGGACTTTGAGAGATAACAGGATACATAGAAGAGATTCTTAACCTTTTAGTATGTCTTGGGCCTCTTTGGCAGTCTAATAAAGTCTATGGACCTCTTCTCAGAATGGAGGCAGCTAGTGGCATAGTGGATAGAGTGCTGGGCCTAGACCCAAGTTCAAATCCAGCATCAGACACCTGTTAGCTGTGTAACCCTGGGCAAGTCACTTACAGTTTCCTCAACTTGTAAAATGGTGAAAATAATAGTAGCACCTACCTTGCAGAATTGTTATGAGGATCAAAGATGATATTTGTTTAAAAAAAATTTTAGCACAGTATGTGACATAGAGTAGGTCCTATATAAATGCTTACTCCCTTCCAGTAAGGTTTTTAAATGACTGAAATAAAATGCATAGGGTCACAGAGAAACTAATTGTATTGAACCATGGTTATCAATATAATTTAAAACACAAATGCACAGACCCCAGTTTAAGAACTACTAAAGTTGTTTATGGGCCAACCTTCACTAACGCTTCATAGACTTGGGTTCATCTTCATGGGTGCTATTTCCAGTAAATATATCCCACCCCCATGACTTAAGTCTTCACCCTAGTGTGAAGCAGAAGGCCTTTAAAGTCAACTCAGGCCTGAATTCTTAATTATTATTGCATTAATAGAAGCCCAGGCAAGTTACAACACAGAATCAGCAAATGCATTCAGTTGAAACAGAAAAGAAAATGAGAAGTAAAAAAGAGAAAGAACAAAACATTAGCAACCCTCTTAGCAACCACTCCTCCACAGTTTGCTTCACTTATACCCCTCAGCTCAGTCTGAGAAGGAAGCTTCTTCTCCACTCCAGGCACCCCCTGCAAACTGGGGGAAATCACCATCTTGGCCATCTTCCATACCTGCTGTGGGTAGCTTTGCTTCTGTGGTCCTCTGTAACCTTGACACCTGGCAGGCAAAGCCTAGCACCTTCTGCATCTTGGCTAGCTTATCCTCATGAAACTCTGCCGATGGCCTGCTCATCAAGTTGATACTTGGCCTCATTTTTGGAAAGCTCTATGACCCAGGATCTTTTGCCATCGCCATTCCCCAGTGGCTCCATTTCCATGTTTTCCCCCATTCCCCTGCCATGCCAACATTCCCTCATTGATCACCCACCCTCTCTCCATAGAGATTTGAAGCCGTAGCCCTCTGATATCAGGTATGACTTTTTGGGATCTGTGATCATGTAAGCAAGCAGTGTGAGATACAGAACCTCAAAGTAAGAACCACAAACAATGTAGTTTCTAATAGGATGATCTTGAGCTTGTACCTTCCATTGGAAAATATAACTTTATCCTTCTCTGAACCTTTTAACATTATGACCTTGGGCCAAGCACTTCTCATCTCTGGTCCTCAGTTTCCTCTTCTATAAAAAGGGGAAAATAATCATGAGGAACAACATGGTACAGTTGATGAGGTCCTGGAGTTCACGTCAAGAAGATTTTGGTGGAGCAGCTGGGTGGTGCAGTGGATAGAGCACTGGCCCTGAAGTCAGGCAGACCTAAGTTCAAATCCGGCCTCAGACCAAACACTTGACACTTACTAGCTGTGTGACCTTGGGTAAGTCACTTAACCCCAATTGCCTAAAAACAAACAAGAAGATTTTGGTTCTATTCTCGCCTTTGACACTTAAGAGCTGTGTGACCTTGAGGAAGTCACTATCTGGGCCTCAGTTTCCCCTTATCAAATACAAGGGACTTGTATTTGATGAGTTTCAAGGTCCTTTTCAGACTCAAGTCAATGACTCCGTGATTCCTGCCCTGCCCAAACCATAGGGTTGTTCTGAGGATGAAATGAGATAATGGATGTGAGCACCTTGTGAACTGTAAAATGCTATACAAATGTGAGAGATGGTTATTATGATCTTTTGTAACTGGATTTTACTCCATATCATGGTCAGATGTGATTATCTCAGGATAATCCTATTTCCTCTTATGCCTCTTTGCTTAATTAGCCAAGAAGCCAAGCATTTCAGTTTATAATAAATTATTAACATAGGGCTGAATCTGAAAATCTGAATGCAGCAGCTGTAGCATCTCATTGTCTGCTCACATGGTCTTCTGAGGTCTCCAAGTTGTTTTCTTTCATGCTGGCTGGTTTGGATTAGCTTGGGGAGAGAAGCCGTTCTAGGAGAGAAGACTAATCAATGCTTCACTGAGGCTATTGAGGCCATTGGACAAGGTGCCGGGCTATGAGTAAAATTGCGTTCCAATCCTTTTTGCTTTTGAATCCCCAACATCTAACACAGGGCCATGCACATAGTAGGGACTCAGTAAAGATTTGATCAGTAGAATTCAATAGAATCACCCACTCCTAAGACTGTAGACCAATCCCTTCTCTTTACTTTGCTTTAGTTTCTTCATCTGTAAAATATATAGTAGAAATGCACAGGTTCTAAAGTCAGAAAACCTGGGTTCAAATTCTATCTCTGCCACTTACTCCCTATGTGACCCATGGCAAGTCACTTATCCTTTCTTGGACTCAGTTTCCTCATCTGTAAAAAAAAAAAAGGAAGGGTATCTAGATGATCTGTAAGGTCCCTTCTGCTCTAGATCTACGCTCTTGAACTTTGCATAGCATTTAACATTTAACAAAGTACTTTTACCTATGTTATCTCTTTTGATCCCCTAAGTAACTTAGCAAGACAAACAGGGCAGGTATTCCTTCCATTTTACTGATGAGGAAACTGAGTCTCATAAGGATGAAGTGATGACTTGCCCAAGATCATATACCGAGTAAATCCAGGGTTAAAAGTCATGGTTCTGACTCCCATTCCAGTGCTGATTCTACTTGCCTTCTGCTGCCTCATGTGAACGTGTGATATGAATGCATTTCACGAGGACACAATAAGCACGAATCTATGACGATCTTAGAAATCCTTTGAGAAAAAATGCTGTGTGTATAAATAAGTACCAGGCATGTTGACAGATGGCTCATTTAAAGGAAGCTCCCAGTAGAGAGTGGCTGTTTTCAACAGGTCAGCCTCTTCTAAAGATTCAAGGAAGGAAGGAGAATAAGCCTAAGGAGCTCTGGGCCATCTCACCACACAGAGTGAGTGTAGGAGTAAATCCTTGAAGTGTCCAGTGAGGGCAAGAGGGCAAGCTCCTGGAGAGTTCCTCGTCTTCTCGTCCATCGGAGACAGAGGAGGCACATTTCACAATTATTTCTTAGGCAATATGACCTCTGAGCCTTCTTGGAATGGGGCTCATTATTTCAGAAACGCAAGCCCAGCTCTTACTGGGTTTGACACACAATATGCTTAACTAGCTCTAGTTACAAAGTAATCTGGAAATGGCTCCACTCTCCCTCCTCCCCATCCCCACTAGATGTGCTCACCTGAGCTGCTCCAGCAATTGGTGTGGTGGCTAATCTGGGCTCCGGGGCTAATTTCACAATGTCAGCAAAGGAAACATTTCCCTCTGCTGCAAGGCCTGGAAGGACAAAACATATTTTGGACCAAAGGGCTAAAATAATGAGAATTGGTTCCAGAAAAAGAATGAGGAGGGCTGGTCACTGAGAAAAGATGAGAACTTGTCCCTGAGGAGGCATGAGAAATTATCCTTGAAGGAAGATGAAGGAAAATGAGGAGGAATGAAGGATAATCCCCAGGAGAGATGATCGATGAATGGTCGCTGAGGAGAGAGGAGGAATGGCCCTTGGAATTAAACTACATTCCCTATACCTGGAATGCCTTGTCTCTATCCCCTCACTCATATAGACTCACTAAAATGCCACTTATCTTCCAACCATAGCTTAAATGCCGTATTCACCATGAGCTCCTGATCTCCTCACACATTAGTGGTCTCATTCTCATCTATGCTTCTTATTCACTTACCATATTCTGTTTCCTTGTAGTTACTTATGTATATGTATCATCTCCTGTACTAGATTGTAAGCCCACAAGTGCCAAGAGTATGTGTCTGTATCAGTTATGTTCTTAAACACATTAATTGCTTAATAAATAGTTCTTGAATTGAAGGACGGACCCTCATGGGATTCATCCTTCCCAATTTTAAGATTTTGTGATTCCATTACTTTATTGGAAGATATAGATGGTCTATTGTTCCTCTGTTGTGATAGAGCAGCCCACAAAAGGACTAGAAAATGGTAGCACCCCCATTCTAATGGGACGTATGAAGTAGGGAACAGAATTAAGCTTAACCCTGAATTTGTACTGAAAACATGTAAGTACAAAGACGTCGGCTCAGTTATGTCAGAGGTGATGGCTATGTCTACATAATCCTCAGGAAAAGGTCAGAGAAGGAAGGGGAAGTACCTGGCCTCAAAGAGTCACCACATCCATATCTATACCACACGAGAGAGAAAGAGACCGGAGGAGGTGGGAGAAGCTGACTTTTCAGGGACAATGGCTTCACTATGGGAAGACACTGAATTCAGTAGAATATGAGGGTGCCTGAATGGAATTCAACTGTCAGATTTAATGAGAGGGCTCTAGCCCTTAAACTGTTCCATGCTTGGCCGCAGGAAAACAGCCATAACTTCCTTTCCTTCCTGTGCTTTTTTTTTTCTTCACAGAAGCTGATGAAGGAAGAAAAGGGGATGGTAGAAAAACAAGGTGATGGAGAGATGGGGTTATATCAGGACAAGATCCTAAAAAAAGAATCAGGAATTCTTTTTAGCAAAGGGATGGGGAGGTCTAATGACTTCACCCTTCCCATTCTTGCATTATGCTACTGTTCTTGTCAGAGCCCCACCGTTGGATTCCTTTCTTTGGCCCCTAGGGTATAGCAGTATAAGTACAGGCCCTTAAAGTTAAGAATCATCTAATGAAGACACAGAGAGGCCTTTCTCACTCTTACCATACAGGAGCATCTCAGCTCCCCAAGGGACATGGGCATTTATTAAGGAGTCCCCAGGTAGGCTAAAGGATGTGACTTGACTGCCTGATATGAACACATTAAGCCTTAGGGAGGATAGAGAACAGCAGTAGAGAAGGAATGAGAATTCTTGGCCATATAAGGACTAAGCTCAGTATAAATGAATAAGGTTCTTTTGGTAACCTGAGCATTCCGTCTAGAAGGTGGGTTCTACTGAGTAGGTTAAGGGCTCTGAGGATAAAAGTCCTCATCCTCACCAAAGACTTTGCCACTGTCTTCAAGTTCACCTATCTGTTCTGGATGTCCCATTGGACTGGCAGCCTAGTGATTGAGAGTTCTTTTCTCATCAAAGCCTACTTTTCTCACTCTCTCCAGCACTTTTCCTTCCCACTCTTGGGATAGGGGTGAGACAGTGTGCACTGCTTGTCAATACTTACCTACTTTTCTAGTTCAAAGGGAGGCAAAGCAGTGAATTTTCAAGAACAGAAGAGCTCTTACTCAATGAGAAGAAGAACAATGAAACCAACATTCCCAAAGAAGTAGACTGTTATGTTATCAGAAATACAGTATGTGGCAGTCTTCATTCATTCATTCAACAAACATTTGCTAACTTCCTACTGTCTTAGTACAATGCTTGGCACAAAGCAGGTGCTTAATAAATGTTGTTTGATTGACCTACTGGTCAATCAACATCAAAGGGCTAGACACTTTGGAGGATGTGAAGATGAATAAGGCATAATCCCAGCTTTCAAAGAACTTGCAACCTAGCAGAGAAGATGATACATGTACACAAATAGCTATGAAACAAGGAGATTGACAAAGTTTTACAGGGTCTCAGAGGAGGAAGGGATAACTTCCACCTAGGGTAATCAGAGAAAGTTTCATGGAGAAGGTGGCACATGAACTAGGCCTTGAAGGGTGGGGAAAGGGATGTCATTTTTAAAAGAACGAATAGCATAAGCAAAGGCACTAAATAGGAAGAGGACCATGGATGTCATTTGGGGCACATATTTACCAATAATCTTACCGTGAATCGCTCTATAAGCACATCCCAAACAAGCCGAATTGGCAGTTTCAATAGTGTATACGGGGGCATTGAACACATCAGACAAAACCTGTGGGAGAACATGAAGTTTCCGTTATCTCACAATGAGTCATTTCCATTACTGAGAATGGGCATTGCCAGTTTTCATTCTGTTAGCTCCCTCTCCCTAGGCTCCCACCTTCTGGTTTCAAACACATTCAAATCTCTATCTCAAAAAAATTTTCACTGGATCCCATTGCTTCTTGGAGCCATTGTCTGGTCTCTATTCTTATTTTTTTTTTCACTTTTCAACTTCTCATCAGTGTGGTTTACCCTGGCTGCCTCTACTTTTGATTCTAATTTAATTCAATTCAATGCATATTTATTAAATACTTACTACATTCAGGGCAGTGTGCTAAAAACTGGGATAACAAACATGAAGAATTACATCATCAGGGCCCTCTAGGAGCTTACATTAAATATAATGTGGGTGTGGTGGCAGTGGTATGTGGACACATAAGCACAATATGAGGCTGAATGTTATATGGGCAAAGGAGAGATCCAAAACATTTTTTTTGAACACTTAAGGAAAGACTTATTATTTTTAGGGGGAATAAGGAAGGCTTGGAATAAGAGGCAGCATCTAAGCTAGGTATTAATGAAAAAAGAGGATTTATACAGATATAGATGAAAATAGAGTACATGTGGGTGTATAGTGGATTTGAAGGTATCTTCAAATATCTGAAGGATTATCATGCAAAAAAAGAGGACTTGTATCTTCAGAGGCCAGAATTTTCCAAAACCGGAAAAGATTGACGTAATGGCTCTCTACCACTGAAGGTGTTTAAAAAAGGACAGATAAGTTATTTGTCAGGGACACTATTGTGGGGATTCCTGCACTGGAGTAGAGGTTTCACTTCAGTTCAAACAACATTTTAAATTTATTAAGGGAAAGGCAATGGGGTAAGTGCTTTGGAATCAAAAAGCAAATGAGAAAATCTCTGTCCTAGAGATAGAGTAGATAAGATATGAACCTAAATATAAGGTAAATTGGAATATTTGAAGTGCAAAGGAGAAGTCCAAACAGAGTATCTGGAGGATTCTGAGGGACAGACAACTTTCAGCTGGGATGAGCAGGACTGACTTCTTAGGTGAGGCAACACAATTTTGGTCTTAAAGGAAAGAAAGGATTTCAATGGGTATAGACAGGGGAAAAGTTCAATCCAGGAGTGGGGGACAATAAACTAAAAGGCATGAAAATGAAAGAGAAGGGTAAAAGTAGTCCTGTTTGGCTGAAATGTAGCATCCGTGAAAGTGAGTAGTAGTAGGAAGGTAAGTTGGAGTCACATTGTGGGAGACCTAGAATTTCAGAATTTCCTATGTAGACTATGCGGGTCGTTGAAGGCTCTTGAGAAAGTGAATGAGTAGATCAGAGCTGTGTGTTAGGATGATTATTTCAGTAGCAGTGAGAAGGATGGATTGGGAAAGGGAAAGGAAGGGTTCAGATAGGGAATGATTATAACAGTTGAAGCATGAGAAGATGAAGGCCTGAACTAGAGGGTAGATATAAAAGATCTTGCAGAGGTAGACATGTCAGGACTCAGTAACAGTGAAGACGAGAGAAGAGAGACCAGGATAATTCAGCTGTCGAGCTTTGAGTGATTGGGAAGATGACTGCATTATCAATAGAAATAGAGGAAGTTAGAGGAACGGTGATAGCTCTCTTAAAAACAAAGTGAGTACCACAGGTAGGGATAGTAGGTCCTGCTGTCAGCTCTAAGGAGGGGCGGAAGCAAGAGCTGTATTATTGTGCTGCTGTAGAGCTGTGGTGTTCAAAACTGTGATGGTAAAAGAAAGAAGAGCTAGCCTGATAAAAAAAAATATGACATCTATGCCAATGGATGATTTGGATGGCTCCAAGAGCAAAGAGTAGGACTCAGCTGAGCATCTGGGGCATACAAAAGGAGCTGAGGTGTTATCTGGGTTTCCCAAGGAAAAAAATTCCCTCATATGGGTATGTTTCACTTTGATTAATAAGAATAGCTAACACGTACATAGCATCTACTATGCAGGCACTGTGCTAAGTAAGTACTTTACAAGTATTCCCTCAATTAATCCTTACAACAGCTTTGGGAGGTAGGTGCTATTGTTATCCCCATTTTGGATGAGGAAACTGAGGCAAATAGAGGTTAAATGACTTGCCCAGTGTTACATAGAAGGTACTGGGGCCAGATTTGAACTTAGGTCTTCCTGATTCTAGGCCGGGTGATCTATCCATTGCACCACCGAGCTAGTAATATGGGGTGTGTGTGTGTGTGTGTGTGTGTGTGTGTGTGTGTGTGTGTGTAAGTGTTCCCTTGCCTGGCTGTATGGTATCTTAAGACAGTATGTGGTGCTGTCTTTGTATATGAAGCAATCAGTATTCAGCAATTTACTTTAAAAAAAAACTAAGCAATAATAATAACAACAGCTTTCAAAAAGAGCTTTGAAGGTTGCAAAGCATTTTACACGTGGTAAATCATTTTATCCTCTCAAACTTGGGAGCTAAGTTCTATTATCTCCATTTTTCAGGGAAGAAAACTGAGGCAGACAAAGGTTAAATGATTTGCCCAGGATCACACAGCTAATAAGAGTCCAAGACCAGATTTGAACTCTGGTCTTTCAACATTCTATGTATTGCGCTACATAGCTACATAGTTAAGTTTCTACTCATTGCAAGGCAGACTGTTGGTAAAGGTTGAGTTTATGACAAGAAGGTATTTTTTTTTGGTAATTTTTTTTGTTAGTTTTTTTTCTTTTTTTAAAACTTCTTATTAATTTATTTTGATTTATCAACAATCACTTCCAAATGCTTTTGAGTTTAAAATTTTTCTCCCCCTCCCTCCCCACCTCTCTTCCCAAGATGGTGCACAATCTGATATAGGCTATACATATACATTCCTATTAAACATATTTTCACATTAGTGATGTAAGTGAAAATTAGAACCAATAGGAGGAACCACCAGAAAGAGGAAACAAAACTCAACAGAAGAGAAAAAAAAATAGCAATTCAAATTCTATAGTTGTTTCTTTGGATGTGGATAGCATTTTTCATCATGAGGCCTTTGGAGATGTCTTAGATTCTTATATTACTGGGAAGGGT